GGTTCCAACTCAGGTTCCAACTCAGGTTCCAACTCAGGTTCCAACTCAGGTTCCAACTCAGGTTCCAACTCAGGTTCCAACTCAGGTTCCTGCTCGAGTTCCGGCTCCGGCTTCGGCTCTTTCGGTTTCGCGGCGCGTGTCTTGGTGTTCGCTCTCTTACGGGTAGGTTTGGCCGCAGGTACAGGCTGTGGTACATCCGTCTCCGACTCTATAGTAGCCGCTGCTTTCTTCCCTTTCTTCGCCTTCGTCTGCCGGCCTTTCTTTGGCTGTTCTTGCTGCACCTGGGGCATCTCCACAATGATGACGGACGAATCAACCTTGGAAATGCCATCGCTGGTTCGCTTGGTTCCTCTCTTCGGTCGAGCGGGCTTTTCCTCCAGTTGCGAAGGCTCAACGACAGGAAGCAAGTCGTCGTGAAGCTGGCTTGCATCTTCACTTATTCTCTTTTCCTCTTTGGCGTTCGCTTTTTTGCCGCGGGTAACTCGTTTAGGCTGCCAGTCCAACACGGTCACCTCTGACTGCGACATATCCTGCTGGCTTGGTTTACGCCGCGCGTTTCGTTTCGGCGGAGGTGCGTCTGCCCCTTGTATTTCTTGAGGCTGAGATGGCTCTTCGCTCGTCTCTGCGTCTTCCACCTCTTTCTTCTTTGTACGCGTGTTTTTACGCGTCGACTTAGCTGTCGGTTTGGATTTCGAAGCGCCTTTACGCCCTTTTCCTGCGGTAGACGTGGTTGTTGCCACCGTATCGGTGGTCATTATGCTATCATCTTCGGCAGCCGGCATTTCTAGTGCAGAGATGAATGAAGGCGTGTCTGATACAGTCATGGTAGACTGGACAGAGAGTCTAGATGCTTTCGACGCAGTGGACCCTCGAGCCTTCTTCGAACGTGCGGGTTTTCGTGTCGCCGCATGTTCATCCGCAAGTCTAAAGAAATCGCAGCCTTCAGCTCGCCTCCGATGCTCTTCTCTGTGTAAAGTTAGATTTGTTGTGGCAGAAAAGAATCGGTCCACATACAAAGGATCATCCTTTGGCTCCCAACCATCAAGCGACAAACCGCAGTAGAGGCAGGTGGTGTAATCGTCATACTCTGGTGTTGGATTGTAGCACCACCCAGCTTCGGCAAGCTAATACAACATGTCAGTTGGATCATGTCGCCGCCCATGTCATCGAGTCTTACTTTGTTTATCGTGCACTTCCAACCACGCTTCCCTTTATGAGGCCAGTTGCTTGTAAACGTCGCTTTTCGCATCGCCAGGAGTTCTGCGTCCAACGGGTCCTCATCTAGTCCTTGACCAAAATAGCAATTAACAGCCCATGCACAGTCTTTGCCGTGGGCATAATGTTCGACCGCCGGATTATCGTTGGGCTCCCATCCGTCCAGATTTCGTTGGCAGCAGAAGCACATGGCGTTGTCGAGACTATCGGCGGACGGCTTGAAGAAGAACCCCGCACGAGCGAGCTAGAGAGATATGAGTACTTCTAGTCCATGATCAAGCCCTACGAGAGCGACGTACCTCTTCTGGCGCCGGGGAAGCATGCGGCCATTCTACCGCTGTCGCGCCCTTCTTCCTGGTGGATGATGCGCGGCGTTTTGTGAGATGATGCACAGCCTTGAAGGTTTCAAGCCTTCCAGCATAGGTATAAGCCTCCTCTGGAACCGCCATCTTGGAGTCGCGATCAAAGAATAATGAAGAGGAACAATTGAAGGGATTGTGGTTGAAGTTGGGAGAGACCGAATGGTTGTTTACACTTTGGAGTTTGGTTGTGAGAGACAGGGATATAAAAGTGGAGCCGGACGCGGTTCTGCCCGCATGCCACGTGACTGCTTTTTACAGCGCACTACAGGAACCAAAAACGACATGTGTCCTTAGCAATTAGCACCAATTGACAGCTCCATCGAGATCCGCCGCAATATCCGATTCACACTCCAACTACAATCGGATATACAAACAATTTGACTCTCATTCGTCCCTCAAGGATGTTGACTTAAAAGAGATGGGCTCCTCTGCTTTCATATCACTGCCCTTCGGACTGAGTCATAGCCATTTCCCTCTTAAAAAATGAATATTGCGTCGTATAGGGCTCCCGCTGTAAGCCGTCGCATTCCCATTCGAAGCAGAGGGTAGCTAATCGGGCTGGTATAGCTCTTGAGCAGGATCCGACACCGTCTACCCAGTCAATCGTTATCCTATTCGGCCTCTAGTTTTGTCTGCCGGCAGTCCCGACACTCGTTCAACCGGATCCAACCCTTCGCTTCCGCGACTCCGGAGCCCAAGTCGTCGCAATCGAGAGAGGCGCCTCCCTCATCATCCAGTTCATCTACTTCGGAAATCAAAGGAGGGTCAACTAGTAGTTCAACGTGGGAGACGCCATCTCGTGCATCAACCTCCTCTAACGAGTCTCTTCCTCCGGGCTGGGAAGATGAGCCGGACTGGAACATCACGAAGTTCGATCAGCTTCCGCACCGGACCTTTGGGTTCAACCAACACATGATCATCAACGAGGAATTCAAGGAATCTTTGCGACAGATCCTCTGGCAGTTCCGGGCCCCTATACGCTATGCCTTTGCGTATGGATCCGGAGTGTTCCCGCAGTCGAACGGCGACGTCAAACCGGAATCCCTGTCCCCGCACCCACATCCCCCCGAGGCCATCAAGACGTGGCAGCGAGGAGGAGGGAAAATCATCGATTTTATTTTCGGCGTCTCGTTCACGGAGCATTGGCACTCGCTCAACCTCCACCAGCATCGCGACCATTACTCCGCCCTCGGCTCCCTTGGTTCAGGCCCGGTGACGAAAGTCCAGGAGAATTGGGGCGCTGGGGTATATTTCAATCCATACATCACAGTCAACGGGACCATGATCAAGTATGGGGTCGTCAATCTCAAAACGTTACAGAGGGATCTCAGCGACTGGGACACCCTCTACCTCGCCGGCCGACTCCAGAAACCCGTCAAGATCCTCCGCGACGACCCGAAAGTGCGACTCGCGAACCAAATCAACCTGATCAGCGCCGTCCGCACCGCCCTCCTCATGCTCCCCGAAAAGTTCACCGAGAAAGAACTGTACAACGAAATCGCCAGCATCTCCTACACCGGCGACCCGCGCATCCGGTTCCGCTCCGAGAACCCCAACAAGGTCTCCAACATCGTCACGCACCAGCTCCCGAACTTCCGCCTTCTCTACAACCCGCTCATCGAGGACCTGCCGAACGTATCGCTGAACGATCCGCGCTGCTATCAGCAGGGGTGGGAGCAGGACTCCGAGAGCGACTGCATGTTGGAGCAGGATATGGATCCGGTGAAGCGTGGGAACATGGTGCGGCGGCTCCCGCGGGCGTTCCGGGAGAAGCTGTATTTCCTGTACCAGGGGAAGTTCGCGATCCCGGGGAACCAGTTCAACGAGATGTTGGAGCAAGCGCAAGATGAGGACAAGGAAGGGTTCCGGAGGCGGGAAGGCACGGAGTTCGACCGTAGGATTGCCGGGGAACCGGATCTGCGGGAGATGGTTCGGAAGGCGATTCAGCAGACTGTTGAGTGGCCGAGTACGAGCCAGTCGGTGAAGGGCTTCATTACGGCGGGAGTTGGGCGAGGATGGCGGTATCTTCAAGAGAAACGGCAGAAGAGCAAGCAAGCGTGATCTGTCCGTGCTGTCATGTTGGTGATGACCGTCTTGGAGGCTCTGTCGCTTTCTTTCTTTCGTTTGCATGGATGGCGCAAGCATATGGACTTAGACCAACCGACCACGTTGGAAAATTGGAAAGTGGGAAAGCTACAGGTTGAGCACGGAATCCGCTCCCTCGGCGCAGCAAGAGTCTGTACAAAGATTAAATAGAAACAATGACACTAGAATATCTGAAGTCCATGTCCGTCCCATGCGCGGTAATATACAATACACCATACAGCTGACAATCCGCCCACAAATCCATCCCATCCCCCCAAACTCAACAGTTCCCTTCTAAATCACCTCATCGTCTTCAAATAATTCGCTTCCTTAATCCCTGCGCGATTCTTTCCCCTCAACGCCCTCCTCAACCCCTCCCTCTCCTTCCTCGCCCTCTCCCCCGCCTCCACACTCCCATCCCCCTCCGGCAAATCCACCGTCTGCTCATACACCGGCACCGTTGCCTCCTCTTTCCCGGCCGCGCGCTCCTTCGCGATCTTCTTCAGCAGCTTCTTCTTCTGCTTGCGCGGCATGGTCGGGTCGATTTCCGAGGCGGGGTCAGCGAGGGTAGAGGCGTTGGTGGAGGAGAGGAGGGTCCAGAGCCAGGGGGGGTAGGCGTCGTCGGCGAGGGCGAGAGGGTCGGAGGCGGATTTGAGGTAGTTGATGCCTTTGAGAGGGGTGCCGGCGGGGACGGAGGAGAGGGCGATGGCAGATTTGGGGGAGGTGGTGTCGGAGGAGGTGGTTGAGGTGGTGGTGGGTTGGGAGGAGGAGTCCGTGGAGGCGAAGCGGCGGGCGATGAGGGATTGTCTAGGGATCATGGATGCGGTGAAGGCTCGGGGGGCATCGTGGATGGAAACGCGGGTGAGGGAGCGCGAGGCGCGGAGGAGACAGCGATCGCATATCATCTTGGCGGGATGACGGGAAGCTGGATCGATGTTAGAAATTGGTTCAATTAAATCCGAGTTTCCATTCAATTACTCACCTTAGTATTTTATTGAGAAGAAGAGGAGATTCCTCAAAGCTCTGATATCAATTGCTGGTTGAGGAAGTTCAGATGTCTCCATCCAAAAAGTTCGACACAGCAACGACGAACGCCAAGACTTGGACCCCTGTAGGAGCCAGATATCTCCCAAGCTCCGGATATCTGCCTCCTACTACTGTATTGAACACGCAACACCAGCTATTGAGATCCCTATCCCCCATCTCTCGTCTCTCGTTAGCCCTCCCCGTCTCCGAAATCCCATGTACTTTCGTTCGCTATCGCTGTCGCCGTCGCCATGACTGCTACGGCTGGAGATGTGTTCTTCAAAGGCCAGAGCGGACACAACACCCGCTCGTTGCTGCGTGTCGTGATCCTCCTCTGCATCGCCGGCGCTGCCATTTCGAGCCGGTTGTTCAGCGTGATTCGATTCGAGTCTATCATCCATGAATGTACGTGCGGGGATGGTATCTGACCAAAGGACACGATATTAATGGCCATATAGTTGATCCATGGTTCAATTTCCGCGCGACGAAATACCTCGTCGAGAATGGCTTCTACCCTTTCTGGGACTGGTTCGATGACCGTATGCGATCAATCCTGCTTGCCTGCGATGTGCCGCGCTGATTTGGTGTTGTAGGAACATGGCACCCGCTGGGACGAGTCACCGGAGGGACTTTATACCCGGGCCTCATGGTGACGTCGGGCGCGATCTACCACCTCCTTCGATTCCTGACCTTCCCGGTCGACATCCGCAACATCTGCGTCTTGCTCGCTCCTGCCTTCTCAGGCCTCACGGCCGTGGCGGCGTATCTCCTTACGTCGGAGATGTCGACGTCTCCCTCCGCGGGGTTGCTGGCGGCGGTGTTCATGGGAATTTCTCCCGGATACATCAGTCGATCCGTGGCAGGGGTATGTGCTGCTTGTACAATTTGGAAGGATACAAAGCTCACAATTGGTAGTCATACGATAACGAGGCCATTGCGATTACGCTCCTTGTAGCAACATTCTATTTCTGGATCAAGGCCGTCAAGAATGGCTCGATCTTCTGGAGCGCTATCACGGCGCTGTCATACGGGTACATGGTGTCTGCTTGGGGAGGATACGTATTCATCACGAATATGCTGCCGTTGCATGCGTTCGTCCTCATCTGCATGGGTCGGTACAGTTCGAGGCTCTACGTTGCATACACGACCTGGTATGCAATCGGAACTTTGGCAGCTATGCAGATTCCCTTCGTTGGATTCGATCCGGTGCGGAGCAGTGAGCATATGGCTCCCTTAGGTGAGGATGATTTGATACTCCGCATTAGTTGTCCAGGGAGCGCCCGCTAATGCTTCTATAGGTGTCTTCGGCTTGATCCAGTTGGTCGCGTTCGTCGAGTACATCCGATACCAACTCCCCAGCAAGCAATTCCAAACCCTCCTCCGGTCCCTCGTCCTTGTCATCTTCGTCGTTGCACTTGGCGGCCTCGTCCTTCTCACCCTTTCCGGAGTCATCGCGCCATGGACCGGTCGATTCTACTCCCTCTGGGATACCGGCTACGCCAAGATCCACATCCCGATCATCGCTAGTGTGTCCGAGCACCAACCGACCGCGTGGCCTGCATTCTTCTTCGACCTGAACATGCTCATCTGGCTCTTCCCTGCCGGTGTATACATGTGCTTCCGTCACCTGAAAGACGAGCATGTCTTCATCGTCATCTACGCGGTTCTGGCGAGCTATTTCTCCGGCGTCATGGTTCGTTTGATGCTCACCCTGACTCCGATCGTCTGCGTTGCTGCGGCGATGGCGCTGTCGCAGATCCTCGACACGTACTTGACTACGAAGACGCCGATTGTGGACACGAAGGAGAACGGCAGTGCGAAGGAGTTCGCGGATGTGAAGTCGCCTGTGAATCCAGTAACGAAAATCTTGTCGCCAGGGCTCCGGTCGACTCGGCATCCCGTGATTGGAATCTACTCCAATGTGTCGAAAGCAATTGTGGTTCTCTCCACCACGGTCTACCTCCTACTTTTCGTTGCTCATTGTACCTGGGTGACGTCTAACGCCTACTCCTCGCCATCCGTGGTGCTAGCCAGCCGTCTACCCGACGGATCGCAGCATATCATCGACGACTATCGAGAGGCGTACTACTGGCTCCGACAGAACGTCGACGAGAATGCGAAGATCATGTCGTGGTGGGATTACGGATACCAAATCGGCGGAATGGCGGATCGGCCGACGCTGGTGGACAACAATACCTGGAACAACACGCACATCGCGACGGTCGGCAAGGCGATGAGCTCCCGCGAGGAGGTCAGCTATCCGATCATGCGCCAGCATGAAGTCGACTACGTCCTCGTCGTGTTCGGTGGCCTCCTCGGCTACTCGGGAGACGACATCAACAAGTTCCTGTGGATGGTCCGCATCGCGGAGGGAATCTGGCCGGACGAGGTGAAGGAGCGCGACTTCTTCACTGCGCGAGGCGAATACCGAATTGACGACGAAGCGACCCCAACGATGAAGAACAGCTTGATGTAAGCCTCCCAGCCTACTACCCCCTAACACACAACGCTAATCCCCGCAGGTACAAGATGTCGTACTACAACTACAACGGGCTCTTCCCCCCAGGCCAAGCGATGGACCGCGTCCGCGGCTCGCGCCTCCCCGCCGAGGGACCGCAGCTCACCACCGTCGACGAGGCGTTCACGAGCGAGAACTGGATCATCCGCATCTATAAGGTCAAGGACCTCGACAACGTCGGCCGCGACCACGGGAGCGCCGCGGCGTTCGACAAGGGGCACAAGAAGAAGAAGGCGACGAAGCGACGCGGCGCTCGGGTGCTGCGCGTGGAGTAGGTGAGGTGAGGTCGGAGCGGAAACGTCGCTGATGGTTGCGAATGTACTAAAAGAGTCGTGGAACTCGGTTGTTCTTAGGGTGGCATTTGGGCGGCGTCGGAGTTGGGCCTGGTAATGCTCGGGAGAGCGATCACCGGTAAAAGATTAGCTCTTGTATAGCGAATATATGCGATTCTACGGCAAGGTCGCCTCGGGAGGGCAGAGGGCAGAGGTAGAAGTGATGAGGCAGGTGAAATCGTAACTTGGTTCGATTAGGAAAGGGTGAAGTGACTGAATGTCCTCGATTGATTATCAGTTCCAAGGACTCGCTATTTGAACTTTCTCGAAGTCACTCATCTTCGCTGTGCAATCTTGTCTCAGACTTCCTCATAGCCAGTTTTATCATCTTCCTTTCCATTGACATCTGTCATCGACTTTCTGGTCTCTTCCGTTCTTCGTCAGCCTCTTGGTCTCCCTCTACCATCGCTACTCTAAAAACAGGTTCAATCCAAGACCACTCGAACTCATATCACCATGTCCGGTCCGATAATGTTCCTCCCCCCGGAAGAAGGAGTCATGGTCCCGTAAGCCTCACCCCATGATCCCATCCATCACATGCCCAGTTCTGTAATTCTAACAACATCCCTCCCAGCGCCCCTCCTCCATCCGCACCCATCCCAACCTCCCTCCCCTACCCCCCCGACCCCCACTACGCCCCCCTCCGCCGCCGCCCCGACGCCCGTGTCCAACGCCGCGGCGACCAGCTATTCATGGTCCGCGACAAGCCCAAGAGCCTTTTCTTGGAATCATTTCTCGAGAGTATCGGCTTCCTGGATACTCGGGAGCTCGAGCGACGGCGCCGGCAGCTCGCTGGCAGGTCGATCACCGTGCCTGGGCTGTGCACGAACACGCAGTACGTTCCGGTGCTTCAGTCTCCTATGTTTTCGATTCCTCCTCCTCCACCGGCGGGGCCGTGGGACCCGCCTTCGGGTCCGTCGGTGCCGGGTTTTATTCATCGGCCTATGTTTCCTTCCCCTATATTTCCTCCCGCGGGGCCGGTTTGGTTTCCACCAGGGCCACCGCCTCTTTTACCTACTTTTATTGCTCCTCCTCCTTATCCCCCCGTTCTTCCGCCTCCTACATTATCCATTCCTAACCCTAATCTCCTGGACTACAGCAGACTCACCCCTTATCAACCGCCTCTCACACTCCCCGCACCACCATACCAACCACGACAAAGTCAGCTGCTTCCAGAAAGACGATACACCGATCCCACAGCCATCGCTCTCACCGATCCAAGATATCACCGATGCTCGAATTGCGGGCGGATCCGATCGAAATCCTATCACCGCGATAACCCGATCATCCCAGGAGAGACCCCCGAGCCGGGTATCTGCGGAAAATGCATCCGAGAATCCACCCCGTCGCCGCAACGACTTCGCGACGCAAGCTGCGAGTCGGTCGAGCGCGTGATTCGTCGCGTTCGAGTGAGCTCGACGCAGCGCAGCCCGGCACTCTTGCCGATGGATACATCCATTCGCGTGACGAGATCGTGCAGCAGAGATGACGACGTCGAGGACCGTCGAAGGTTTGATTCGCCACGACCGCATCGGGGGAGGCCACGCTCGCCATATATCGGAATCCCGACGCCAAGGCAGCGGTCGATCAGCAGAGAGCCCGAGGTCAATTACCCGATCGAGCCGATGACGCGGCGTACTGTTATCCGTCGCGTGCGGGAAGCGGTAAGGATGACGTCTCCGGAACGAGGGTACCGGTCCCGGCGGCGTTCACGACGGCGCTCCCGGTCGGTACCAGATGCCTCGAGGATCCGCGTCCGCGATGAACGAGACGAAAGCTATCGCCGGGCTGCGGAGAGGATTGAGCCGGATCGTCGATCTTATCCATACGGTCGAATTGCGCCTATGGAGGAAGATCGAGAGCCGTACTATTACGAGCGACGGTGGATCACACGAGACTATCCGTATTCTCCTGATGAAGAAGAACGACGACGAAGCACACGAGACTATCCGTATTCCCCTGATATCGAAGAAGAGCGACGAGGGCGTGGATATCGCCGAGACGGGACGCCTGCGCACGCTCGAGTCATCCCTCATCGGAGGATTCCAGGCTACTACAACGACATACGAGGCGGAGCCAATGACCGTCCATCAACCTCGAGAGACGAGTCAAGAGAAGAACGCTCGGTTAGCGTCCGTCGACGCACCATTGTTGAGACAGATGACGACCGTCGTGACTATCGACGACCCAGCCGGCGGTATGATAACCGGTACTCGTCCGGATCGGAAGTAACCGTAAGACGGCCGGATTACAGACCTCGCAGTCGACTGCGCCAACGCAGCGGCAGTGACAGTCGAGTGCGCGTTCACTTCACTCCCCCTCAGAAACCCAGCGGGCCAGCCACCCCTGATTGGAATTGGACTCCACAGGACTACGGCAGCCGTTCCACATTGTCCAGGTCTTATCGCCGGGGTGGATATGATGGACACCGCAGCAGCGATCCAAATGCCGAGGAACAAGAAGGTACTCTCACTCCTTTCTCTCCAACCTATTATATCAGTACCATATGCTAACCCACACTCCCAGCCCCCCTCTCATCCAACCACTCCCTCCCCCCACCCTCGCCCGAACCCCTCCCCTACCCGGACGACCCCCTCGACCACTCTACTCCCCAGCCCCGCGCCTTCACCATCGTCATCCCCGACGACTCCCCCCTCTACCACCACATGGAAGCCCTCGCCTCCCAGCACCCGGACGACGGACATGACGAGATTGAGTCCCAGCACAGCCGCATAGAGACCCTCGCCGATAGCCCTCAGGTCCGCTCTCCGGAGCTTCCTCGTCGGCACGTCGGGCATGAGAACCGCGCGGTTTTCGAGGTTGGAAGTGGTCGCGGACGGGGTACCGATGTTTCGTCACAGATGTCGGGTAACGGCAGCAGCGGTAGCGGAGATGGCCGGTCGGGGCTCTCGGTAAGCGAAGACGATGTTTCAAATAGCTCGAGTGTCGAGGTGGCGGTGGATTTTGGTGGGTCAGCGGAGGATGGGAGCAGGCAAGGGAGCCGCACCGCTGGGAGTGAGCGTGGAAGCGGTAGCGATGGGAGCGTGCGAGGCCGTCGGAGTGCCGGGAGTGGGCGGCGGAGTGGTAGTCGGCGGTCGGCGAGAAGTGATCGGAAGAGTGCACGTTCGAGCCCGGGGCACGATCAGTGGGATGATGGGGGGGGGCTCTGGGGTGCTGCGGTGGATGGATCACAAGGTGGAGAGGGGGATCAAGGGAGTCGTGGGCGTAGAAAGACGGGTGGTAGCAGGGCGGGGAGATCAAGTCGGGCGAGTCGGACGAGCGAGGCGGTGGATAGTAGTTATGCGCGGGATGGGGATTGGGATTACTAGGCAGTAGGCGGATAGGGGGATATCGGGTGGTTGGTGGAAGGAAGGGGGTGAGAGTGGTGATCAGTCAAGCATTTTACCAACCTTAAAAGTCCGTGGTAAAAATTGAAAGTCATTTATTTATGTTGGGTATAATACAGTATACGCCTGTCGACAGTCATCCCTTATTCGTGTCATACAACTGGGCCGTCTGAGCATGTAAATACCGAGTACTTAATGTCAACCTTCGGAGACACGACCTCCCAGCCAGGAACCGTTATGAGGAGGAGGCTACACGAGATACTGCCTCACAGCCAGACATCGGTGGAGGTTGAACTTATCTGATATTACAGGGATGTGGTTCCATCCTGGTACCTCGATATCGTGCGAGTGTTTGTACTTTGTAGTTTCCACCAGCTCGAGTACTGGTATTGGTAATTGGTCCCTTAATTACCGTAGCAATTCCCGCCGCTAAGGACTGAGGAGCAAATCCCTGGAGCAAACTACCTCTGCCCACTTTATTGACGCTACAGGTGAAAGTGTGGCTACGCTAGGATACCCCTATCTATCGTTGCGCTTGTATTTTTACCACGTTTCTGCTCTATCGCACGGGAAATAAAAGATTTATAAGTAACATCTGACTTTTGCAACAGCTTACTAATTGCTGGAAACCTAATCGTGGCGGGCATGGGCCTCAAGTGTCAAAAGAAGCTATATCTGCCCTTCTCCTAGGTTCCTAGTAGGGGCGTCCCTTTTTGGGGATTTAGTGCAGTTGGTAGGATTCGACATCAAGGCTTGAAGAGAGGCCTGACGGGGGTATCTATCTCACTCTCTCCAATTAATCGTCATTTTTTTTCCTGCTAAACCCGCCTTGAATGGCTACTCACACTTTTCTTTAATGCCCCTTGATATACTCCGATGGGCTATCCGCATTCGTGTACCACCAAACCCCAAGATCTCCACAGGGTCGCTATTCTAGTCTTTTCAATCACGCACGGGACCTAGTTCAGAAGCTATTATTTCATTCATCATAAGATCAATTTGTCTCCCTAATTGGTTTAACATGAATAGATGGCTGTAGACTGTAAGGCCGCGAATGAGCTCCGGAGATTTTCACGGACTTAATCATACCAGAATCTTCTCATTAGGAGCATGCTCGCGCAGAGCTTCTCTGCGTGACTTGCTATTGGGATCATAATACGGGCGCTCACCCAATTCTACCGCTCGGTTACCGAAGCGCTCACCCTGGCCGTCATAATCGAAGGTTGCGCGGTGGAAGGTGCTTCTGTTGTCCCAGATCGCTAGTCATATGTCAGCTCCGAGCCTTAACTCCTTTGGGACTACGGGAAGCTTACCGATATCGTTCGTGTTTTTCCATTTGAGGCGGACCTGCAGGTCGTGGTTCTTGTATACCAAGTCCAAGAACCAGCTCAGGAGAGACTTTGACTCTTCTTCCGTCACGCCATTGATATACTGGATATGGTTTCCAAGGGGGAAAAGGCTCTTCCAACCAGTCACAGGGTTGGTTCTCACAATGGGGTGCACTGCTTTGAACGAGCTACCATCATTTTCGGGTGCACCACGGAGCTTGTCATAGAGCTCGAAGCCACCTCGAGCTGCAGCGGCGTTGAATCCCGGTTGGGCGAAGGTCCCCGTAAGACCTTCAAGGAACTTCTGGTATGGTTCACCAATACGGTCGTAGAGCTCGTATTCGGATGCCCAGAGGGTGTCTATCCCTTATCCTGTCGCGATTTTTAAATCACGAAGGCGTTTTTAGCGTAGCAGCCACCGACCAGGGTATCGACCAGGGTATCAAACAGGATGTAGCGATGTCAAAACCATTACCACCACCATTAATATCAATTATACTCTATTGACAACCATGATGCACCTGCGGGTAAGTAATACAGCTTATTTGAGGGTTGAATCTATCTTAATCAGTGTAGGACTTTTCGAACGACACCCACATCGACCCTAGTATCACCGCTGATACAAACTATGTTGAATTTGACACTCCACCTGCCGACGACACTCGAGATCCTATCCGAATGCCATTATTCAGCGGCCTGAGGCCTTGCGGTGAGTTTTTCACCTTCAGGGACGCTGTAAAGCTTCTTGCGCTGGGCAGAGCTGATTGTGCTGATCTCCGGATCGGATCCTCCAAACTCCTGGCTAGGGTTCAATATCGGGTGAATGTGCAGGCCCGAGGTTTTCGGCTTTCCCGTCAGTTCGCCGAGTCGTTGAACCAATGCCTATATTAGTATAGGGTGCTTTCTTTTGATGGCCAACTCCTTCAAGAGTTCATCTGCATTTGGAGCATTAATCCACTCGACCAGGTTGGCACTTGAGAACTCCGTGCCGATGATTGGGGTTGCATCAAATTGCTCGAATTGATCAAGGATGCCTGACGATACTAACGGCTGCGGTCTGCCTTTGGTAACGATTGGAGCATCCTGTTCCGTCACTGCGGGTGCCACAGTTGCTGTGGGTGCCATATTTGCTAACGTGTTTCTTTTATGAATGGGTTCAAAGTATAATTTAAGTCTCTACTTCCCTTTTGAGTGTCGTTGAGTCCTGCTTTTATCTATCCTCCCGGATATTCAGCACATTTTTAAAACCCTCCGCGTATTTTCGAATATAGCTTACAGATTGTGCAACTTTATTATTGTCTATCCATCGTTGCTGGTGTCAGGTATCACAGTGGACAAGCTCAGTCTTGACAGATGATCCCAGATGATCACGTACTCTATGTTACTGCACCATTCTAGGGCAGCAAGACTGCTCCATCCATCGAATCAAGTCTATTAACCTACTACTACTACTCTAGGATTGTCCTCCAGGTTGTAACTTGCTTACACATTTCTATCCCAGCTGTGAGCTGGCCTTATGGTGGATGCACGGAACGCGTCGCGATTCTTATTTGCACCCAGCCGGGCCCCAGTCACGTGCAATAACAAAAATCTCCCGTTACGAAATGTGATGAAATCAACTTTGGTCTTTGTTTCATGTCCGACATCCCAACTAATTACTGGATCTGGCGAAGACTTATTTGCTTGGGTCTCACTAATCCTTTTCCTAGTGCACCGAATTGTGCCAGTGTATCGCTGCATTAGGCAATTTGACGTGAAAGGTAAGAGACCGCGGAGATAGGCAAACTCTAATTATGTCTCCTCACCTGATGCATCCCCGTTTCCTGCTCAACCCCTGAGGCACCCTGCCCTTGCACAGCAGACCCATGCATGTGTGACATTCTGATATTATACGGGTTCGTGTTCGTTTAAGCTTTTATTTGCGGGCGGCGACTGGCTGGGTTCCGTTCAGGCCGATGATGAGCTGGAATGACCCAAGACTTCACGACTCATGTCTACGGATTCTGGGACGTGGCTTCCACTTGTCCATCGAGAAGACACCAGAACTACGATCCAAGGTACATACGGACCGCTCGATATGTACAGTATCCAGGCATATATCACGATTAATACGTGGCGGAGTTGCACCATGCTTCGGTTGAGCGAGTCAGTCCACTCGTCCTTTCCTCAGTTACCGTATATACCGATATCCAAGAGCTAAACGCTTCGCTATTATGTTTCTCCGTATTTTACCTAATATTTTCAATGTCATTTTTAGCATTTCAAGTAGCATCGCAGGGGGTTTATATCAGCGTGGGATTCACAGACTCGAATGTTCCGCTCTACGTGTTGTTAGAGCTCCCCCTGGAGCACACGATTTACCGAGTCATCACGTCTATTTCAGAACGTATCTTGATCCTACCACAACACTTAGAGAACACCTCTATGGCTAGGTATACCCCGTTCATCTGTTACTATCTTACTCTATGTTCTCCGCATATTTCGTGGGATACTCCATCAGTTGCGTGCTATAGTCAATCTCTTGCTCTATGTTCTCTGCATATTTCGTGATATACTGCATCAGTTGCGTGCTATAGTCAATCTCTTACTCTATATTCTCCGCATATTTCGCAATATACTCCATCAGTCGCGTGCTATAGTCAGTCTCTTACTATTAGCTAGCTCGTATACTCTTCGTCGTTCACTCCTTACTCGCACCCGTTAGTAGCATGTTTTCTTCGTCTGATAATGTGGGGAAAATGAGATTTCCGGGCAGGAGTGGGATTTAGGTACGCAAGCAGCCATTATGGTGCCATGATAGGGTGTAGATGGAAGTCACTCAGCGATGAATATAAGTTTCGGATCCCTCTTGAATGTCCTAACCATTGATGCTCTCTATCCAATCCCCTAGCAGAGACAATCAACATGCTGGACGACAGAAAACACTCAATCTCAAGAGCCTCTGGTGGCCGACGTACTAGCTCTGAATCTATCTCAAAGAGCGCAGGCGTCCTTGAGGCAGCCCTGTGGACCAAAGGAGCCACTACATTCGATAACGACTCCGGCCTTCAAGATTTCTATAAGCCCATTAATTCCTACGAAGGGTATCATCGCTATGATCCCAGTTACACATGGTCGAAAGAGGATGAGAAGAAAGTTGTTCGGAGGGTAAATTATTACCCTTCTAGATTTGATCCCACTAAGTTAACACCATCACAGATTGACTTCAAGATATGCTCTTGGGTGTGTTTAATGTTCTTCGCATTGTCAGTCCCTTTTCCATGAACTGCTATCCACCTACTAATACTGTGGAAAGACAACTTGATCGAGGGAATATCAGCCAAGCACTCTCAGACAACATGCTCGACGACCTTAACATCACTACCAACGAGTATAACACTGGAATGACCATATTCTACTGCAGTTTCTTGGTCGCTGAAGTACCATCTCAGCTCATTTCAAAGAGACTCGGACCCGATCGTTGGATCCCCATTCAAATGGTCTCATGGAGTCTTGTTGCCAGCCTCCAAGCATTCCTCAGCGGCAAATCGTCTTTTTACGCCTGCCGCTCCCTCCTCGGATTGATTGAAGGCGGCTTCATTCCGGATGCTATCCTTTACATGTCGTACTTCTACACTAGCCCCGAGTTACCCATTCGCCTCAGCTATTTCTGGACCGCATATCAGAGCACCAGCGTTATCTCCGCGTTTCTTGCCTATGGTATTCTGCGGTTACGCGGCGTCAATGGAATGGAAGGATGGCGATGGTTATTTGCCTTAGAAGGAACCTTGACCGGGCTGATCGGCATTGCATCCGCCTTTTATCTTCCACCGTCACCCACACAGACCAAGTCCCGGTTTAGAGGCAAAGACGGCTGGTTCACTGAACATCAAGAGAAGATCATGGTCAACCGGATTCTCCGGGATGATCCTTCAAAAGGCGACATGCATAATCGTGAGGGGCTGAACCTTAAAGAAATCTGGCTTTGCCTAACAGATTACCATATGTGGCCTATCTATCTTATGGGCTTGACCTGGCTCATCCCGAATCATCCAATGGTGGCTTACTTGACATTGCAGCTTCGTTCCGTCGGGTTTGATACTTTCAAGACCAATTTGTTAACAATACCTGCATCCGCATTGTTTATCGCGCAAGCGCTCTTCTGGACTTGGCTCTCCGAAAAGATGGATCAGCGGTTCATAGTCGCGCTAATCAGCCAAGTTTGGTCCTTGCCAATTCTGATTGCCCTGGCAGTGATTCCATCAGCCTCAAGCCCGTGGGTGAAATGGATTTTGTCCACTCTCCTTGTCGGACATCCGTATGCGCACGCGATCGTTGTTGCAGTCACCTCCCGAAATGCAGGAACAGTGCGCACCAGAACATTCGCAACAGCTTTCTACAATATGTGTTGCCAAGCGAGCTCGATTATTTCTTCCAACGTAAGGCCGCCAACTCCATTCCTTTCTGCTTATGAGAATGCTCACTAGCCATACTTCCAGATTTACCGCGAAGAGGACAAGCCCTTATATCGAACTGGAAACCGTATCCTCATTGGAATTGCCATATACAACATATTTCTGATCGCTGGGACCAAGTTCTTTTATGTCTACCACAACAAGATCCGCGCAAAGAAGTGGGATGCCATGAGTGGCGAAGAGAAGGAGAACTACCTGGCAACTACGACGGATAAAGGAAATAAACGGCTAGACTTTAGATTCGGCTCATAGACCGCATTAGATACGACCGAGGAGATCTAGACGACACCCAGCGCCTCTGAACCCTCGCTGACTTGAATAATATTTCACCATCGCAGCACTGGTGATTTATTTATTTATTTTTCTATGGGAGTTGGCACTGACCATACTAAAATCGACGCGGACTGTCATAGGCCTAAATCACTAAGGATTTAGTAAGCTGGTAACGCTGTTGAATTGCTAAAGAGAAAAGGAAAAGATCTCTCTCACTGCGATCTGCTATTTACATCTATGAGCAAACTTACCTCAGCACGCTCAGGCCATTGCGGTAGTGCCTGAGCCCTGATGCAACGAACCGCACTATACCTAATTAGCAAGGTTCTCTACCAAATAGCCTGAGGATCATGTCATTGATTTTTGGCCGAAGTCGAGATCGTTTGTATGAGAGCAATTTAACTACTTCAACTTCGTTTTTCTTCACAACGAGCCGTCGCACAGTAAAATTGATACGTTCAATCGAATCCTCTATCGTTTCTTGACAGCCCAGTGAAATTTAGACGATGTCAGATCGAACCTCCTCTCGGCGCAGCGTACGACTGAACCCAGCGTCTCCAGAGAGCAGAGAATAGCTACGAACTGGTGCTTCGACTGCGGTGGTTGGTTGACGATTCTGACGCAGTCTGGTTTTTTACATATCAGCATTTTTTGCAAGACACAAGCATCGGGTGTTATGGTCCCAGGCCTGCGGCCTGTTCCCTTGGTTGTGGCTGAAGACGTGGCTGGTGGATTATATCAGAGAAGCAAACAAACATGGTAACACAGCATGAGGGCATTGGAGAGGAGAGTCGCTATCTCGCGCACAAAAGGTGCAGGGAGATTTCTTCTCTCTCTCTCTCTCTTCAGTTTAGATTAATGGAACTTGGTAATCGCAGACCTTGCGCATCCAGACCGTGTCACTGGTGACTGAAAACGTTGAATTGCTAAAAAGAGAAGCTCTCCCCCGCTCACGAGTGGTATATATATCCAGCCTTTTTGCAAGGCTGCAAGGTATCCGTCCTAGGCCGTAAGGCCGATACATAACTATAGATTTATCTTAACTAACTAGCTGTTGTTCATTTAAGGTTTCAAGTCTAATAGTAACCTAGGGAGAAAAGAGCGATTTCAGGAAAGATTTCGTTTACAATCTAGTGAGGAATTCGGGGGATAAGTGGGTAAACTACGCTCTGCCCGCCTTATTGACGCCACAGTTGAAATTTGGTCCCCACTAGGATACCCCATCTACCGCCGAAAAGCTGCCGCTGTATCGTTGTGCTTGTATTTATTCTTGCCGAGTTTCAGCTAGTTAGTCAAGCTTGAAGGGCGAAATTTGGATAAATAGGGGTTAGCGACGTTTCGCATATCAATGCTTTAGCCTTCAGCCTCAAAAATATCAGAAAGTATTCTATCGTACATTTTGCAAAACGCAGAGTTCAACCCAAAGTTGGAATATGGCTATCAATGATTTTATAGATTGAAGACTAGGCAGGTTCGACCGAAAAAAGGCGGAATGATAAGCTCAGTACAAAACGGACCACTACTTCGAACTAATATCATCAGCTCTTGATTCCTATCACTTCTCAATCAAACCCGACGCATACCTAGCCTTTTCTCAAACTGGAGTTTCAGCCGCTAACGATTACATTAGGGCAACTACAAAGTCGTGTCTTTCTCTTTTAGTGCTTCAGATCTTGCTGGGAAGCATCTTGATAAAGAGTTCTTGGGTAACACTCAACGACCTGTCGATGAGCTTCTGCGATAGCACTTCAGACAGGCTGTTCTAGTGAACATGAAAGGCGCTGGCGATCCTATCTTTGAGCATGACTTTCCGCCATGGTCAGATACAGTAGGCGACATTCTATGCGGACCAAAAGCAGCTGGAAGAATGGAGTACGAGCACTTTCACCGTCTTGCTGCTCAGGTTGAATTCCATTCTGACTAGGTAGAATGAATACATTCTAATTCATCGGTTATTCACTAATAACATGCCAACTTTTGGTTGTATGTGCAGTATCTCCCTTGTTGTTCCTCTTGCGGGCGATGCACGCGCTTTGTGAAGACCTGATATGAGGCATGGACAGTGATCCACACTGAATACACCCAATGTTCTGCGCTCACTTGTTATTCACTCTTTTCCCCAACCTTCCTCTTGCCCATCTCAATGTCCCCCACAGGCCATCCGACCCGGACCAAACACCCATCCGGACCGTTTAGACTAAACTCAAGCAAACCCCATTCCTTGATCTCGGGCTTCTTCCCCTGCTCGATGATCTCGTTGGCAAACTCCATGGCTAGTGCTTCTACGTCCTCGGAATAGACATAGATGCCAAACGAGTTCTTATGTGGCTCCAGCCACCCTTCCTCGTCTGGTCCAATCTCCCTCAGATGAATTTCGGAGCCATTAGGGTGGTCGAGCATGAGGTACTGGTCCCATTCGTTCATTTCATCCTTGGACGGCGCGTTGAAGCCGAGACGAAGGAAGAAACAAGTCGCGGAGGCTAGGTTGGTGCATGGGAGAATGGTGGTGATGCGCGGACGTGTTGGCATCTTTACCCCTTTGAGATGAGGCAACTTCGGATGCGTTGGGATTTGATTGATCACCTTAGAGCGAGATTATTAGACATCCTGTCCCGAAAACTGCCAGGGAGCAGAACGGTGGCGTCAGCGCTGAACTGGGAAATCTCGTAGTGCAAGGGAACAGGACAGGAAGGTGCAGTGTGTTGATTGAACACTGGTTAATTTATTGAATCAAGAGTAAGTTCTGGTAGGAATTGTCAAGGATTGGTAGTCCTGGGTAATATTGGATTGCTGTAGGCAACTGAATAGATCAAGAAGTCTGTATCAACGTATTTGTATTGTATGTAATCGTGTAAATGTGTAACAGCGCGAATCGCTACCGTTGAGAGATGGTAGGATTCGCACGAGGCATTATATGCCTCGAAAGCTGGGTAAGGAAAATAGATGATCCGACCCGGGCCCAAAGAGGCCCAAAAGGGTCATCCAGATGGTGAATCTTCACAGGAATGGCAGAACTATTTACATCTAGATAATCCCGTTTGGGAAGTGAAATGATCTATCATTTGGTGGGTTATGACTATTCTTTTAACAAGGTGTTAGTTAAGCACGTTAAGTCCCAGTTAACCTACCTTCGAGTTTCCCGCTCTAGTCCCATCTGCTGTACCATATGTATAGTATGGTACTCCGCCATGGCTTACAAGGGCCGCGCGGGGTAGACAACGTAGGGGGGTTGCGATGTCAGATGTGCCTATCCCCACGCATGCGCCAGCTCAGCAGTAAAAGCGATTATTATTTATTATTGGTCCATGATATGGCCCTATATGTACGCTTGCAACGGCAGCCTAGGGTCCGTTAGCGTTCTCCGTACACTCCCCTATACAGACACCACGAGCGAACTCCGTGGTACAAGGCATGACGAGGATTGCGTAATTTTCACTAGAACCCGTTTTGGAATTTACCTGTTGATGAACAGCTTCATGCCGAGGACTCCTATACGTATATAATGTACGTATATGATCTTTGCAGGGGAAGGCCACGATGAGCATTCGCCAGTTCAAGAGAAGCTTTTTAGCCCACTCTACAGTCCACGAACTACAAGTCTCAAATCAGTGCATCAAACTACTGCATTATGTCTCCTTCAGCAACCGTAGATGCTGTCCCCCTCACAGCGCCCATCACGAAGGAAGTTCCCTCAGGGCCTCTCAAGGAGAAAGCCCCGGCCGTCCAGCCCAAAGACGGTACTTATGATGCCTTCTGTGCCAGCTGTGTACGTACCAAGAGTCCAAGACTGACAGTGTTACAGATGGACTCCCAAAATCCCAGACGGGGCATAAGGAGCCATTACAACTCAGCGGCGCCCTCGACCAATTCGAGCAGTTCGATGTCACCACCGTAATCGGCAAGGAGTTTGCCAACGTTGATCTCGCCGAGTGGTTACATGCACCCAACTCGGACGAACTGCTCCGCGACTTGGCCATTACCGGTAAGAGCTCCGATAATAAAGGTCATGAAGACACCTTTGCTTAATATAACACCAGTCTCCCAGCGCGGCGTCGTCTTCTTCCGCAAGCAGGACAACATCGACAACGCCCTACAAAAAGAACTTGTCCAGCGACTCGGTGAACTCACCGGAAAGCCCGCGACGCTAGGGCTGCACAATCACCCCTTCACCCACTTCTCACATCCGGCAAGAGGCGACGACGATAAGATTAGCACAATCTCCTCCGTCCAGGTCAAGACCCTGTACCCCGATCGGTTCGCCAAACTGCCGCAGAGCAAGAAGCGCCTGTGGCACAGTGACATTACCTTCGAGCCTGTCCCCAGCGACTACGCCCTCCTAAGACTTACGGAGCTCCCTAAGACCGGCGGAGACACCCTCTGGGCCTGGGGGTACGAGCTCTACGACCGCATCTCTAAGCCGCTCCGGAGCTCCTCGACAAGCTCACGTTCTACTCCGCCCAGCCGGAGGTAAACAATGCTGCCGCTCGCAACAACTTCCCCTTCTACACAGCCGAGTGCGGTGCACCCGAGAACGTCGGGGAAGCCCTCGAGGCCATCCACCCCGCCATCCGCACCAACCCGTCACCGGGTGGCGGAGCGCCTTCGCCGTCGGTAATCACGTCCAGAGCATCCCGGGGCTCAGCGAGGCGGAGTCGAAGCACTTCCTCGACTGGTTCCTTCAGCTAATCGTTGAGAACCATGACTTGCAGGTCCGTCTGCGCTGGCAAAACCCCAACGACGTCGCCATCTGGGGCAATCGTAGCGTCTTCCACATTGCTACCCCGGATTTTATCAAAAAGGGCCTGGGAGAGCGCACTAGGTCGCGCGCGGTGAGCTTGGGTGAAAGGCCCTACTTTGATTCTCAGAGCACCGGTCGACAAGAGGCGCTGGCTGCTGCTAAGGGTCTTGACTGGGGAACTCGGTGGGCCTTAGGGGGCATGGCATCTTATAGTGGCGAGAGTGCAGCTAGATAGTTAGTGAATTTTGTTTGGGTTTCGATGAATAACGTAACGTTTCGTACTATCGGGGCTGCCTAGACGCTCTGGTGAGGCTTCAGTAAAATGGAGGAAACTCCATCACTGGGGGCAAATGGATCTCGCAGTCTTCCCGGTCAAACTCACTTAATAGACTATTTCTGGACTAGCTATGCCACATGCATCTCTCTGCCGTTCTAGTATTACTAGTGATACCTGTATGATATGAGGGAGTAAGAAAACAATCGAGTTCGTATCATGACAGATTATTATGACTTGGCTGGTGAGGTTTGTCCCCAACATTTTGAGATTTGTCCCTAACGCTAGCCCAATTCTCACTAGCGTGGTAAAATTACACAAACTGGTACGACTTGGTATCGTGAATACTCATTAGACGGCATCTTATTCTTCAAAATAATTCGGTCGAATTGTTTCAGTCTATCCCTGGACTGGTGGCGCACTTTTGGCATGCCCACCATCCGAAAACGGATGGATCCTCCGCCACAATCTGATACCCCAACGCCAGGGATGGAGAGCTATGGTAAAGGCAAACCCCTGACATCTCCAACGCCAATGACAGCATCTCCACCTGCCCCTCCGCATTCGGGCATCCGTATCATGAATAATAATCCACCTCGTCCCTGAAGTTCTCCTGATAAGGGTTATATGCGGCCTAGAATTCACAGAAATATTTGCGAAGACATACACCAACATGCCTCTCAACGCTCAATCAATCTATCCCGCCGTGGACCCCCAATTCATCCCCTTCCCCAGTCGCCGCAGCGTCGTCCACAGCACTAAAGGTATCGTCTCATCCACCCAACCGCTCGCCAGTCAAGCCGGGATCAAGATCCTCGAAGCGGGTGGAAATGCCGCCGTATGTCTCCTCCATATCCCCGTTCTATTAATCATAAATAAAAACGAATGTCACTGAAATTATCGTCTAGGACGCCGCCGTCGCCGTCGCCGCAGCCCTCAACGTCACCGAACCCAGCTCCACCGGTATCGGCGGTGACATGTTCTGCCTTTTCTACGACGCCGCCAGCAAAACCGTGCGCGCGCTCAACGGCTCAGGGCGCTCGGGCGCGCACGCCACTTTGGAGCGGATGCGCAAAGAGCTAGGGATCGCGGAAGGCGAAAGCGGAGGGATCCCGAGCAGCAGTGTGCATGCGGTGACAGTGCCGGGGGCGGCGGCGGGGTGGGTGGATTGCGTGGAGCGGTTTGGGAGTGGGAAGGTGGGTATGGGGGAGGTTTTGGGGCCAGCGGTGGAGTTGGCGGAGGGAGGGTTTCCGGTGGGGGAGTTAGCGGCGGGGTTTGTATGATGATCCCTCCTTGCTTTGGTTTTGGACGGATGGAATGCTGATAATAGATGTAGTGGAGGAAATGTGAGGAGTTGATTAAGGGGGCGTCGCCGAATGGGGCGGAGGTGTTGAAGAGCGATGCGGAGGCGCCGGGGAGGTGTCGGGCACCGAGGGCGGGGGAGATCATGAAGACGCCGGCGCTTGCGAAGACATTTCGGCTGCTGGCGGAGCATGGGAAGAAGGGGTTCTATGAGGGCGAAGTCGCGGATGCGATCATCAAGGTGGTCACGGATCTGGGAGGGTTGCTGACGCACGATGATCTCAAGCATCACTGCGAGACGGGAACGGAGGATACGGAGCCGATCAAGGTCAAAGTCGACATCCCCGAGATGATTAACCGGTCGAAATCAGCAGGAAACGAACAAGGTCCTGTTGATCTATGGGAGCATCCGCCTAACGGACAAGGCATTGTGCCCTTAATAACGCTCGGCATCCTCCAAGACCTAATCAAAACCGGTCAGCTCAAAAAGCTCAGCCCAGGAGACCACAACTCCCCCGAGTAAGCCCTTCCCCAATCTCCCCCCTGCCTCCCCCCACTCAACTAACCATCATCAGATACCTCCACGCCCTCATCGAATCCCTCCGCCTCGCCTTCTCCGACGCCCACCATCACCTCGCCGACCCCTCCCACTCCCCACTCCCCCCCCTCCTCTCTCCCCCCTACCTCTCCTCCCGCGCCGCCCTCTTCTCCCCCACCACCACTGCCACTCACCCCCCCGGCTTCCCTGCCCTTTCCCGCTCCGACACCGTCTACCTCGCCGTCACCGACCGCCACGGCAACGCTGCCTCCTTCATCAACAGCGTCTACTCCGGCTTCGGCTCGGGGATTGTGCCGCCGGGCACCGGGTTCGCGCTGCAGTCGCGGGGGGCGAATTTCGTGTTACGGGACGGGCACGCGAATGCGCTGGCGCCGAGGAAGAGGCCGTATCATACGATCATTCCGGCGATGGTGACGGATGGGGCGACGGGGGATCTGCATACGGTGTATGGGGTGATGGGTGGCTACATGCAGCCCCAGGGGCACGTGCAGGTGTTGATGAACATGTTAGTGTTTGGGATGAGTCCGCAGGCGGCGCTGGATGCACCGCGGGTGTGCATTGGGGCGGGGTTGCCGGACCAGGGGGACGTGATGGATGCAACGGTGTTTGTGGAGGAGGGGATGGGGAAGAGGACGGTGGAGGGTTTGATGGGGTTGGGGCATGCGGTGGAGGTGGTGGGGGGGTACGGGAGGGGGTTGTTTGGGAGGGGGCAGGTGATTAGGGCGCATTGGGAGGGGGAGCAGGTGGTGTATAGTGCGGGGAGTGATCCGAGGGGGGATGGGGCGGCGGTGCCGCAGTGAGAGTAGGTATGTGATTTCGATTAAGGGTAAAATCCGAGATTTGGGGATATATCATACATCCTCCTCTCCACGTGGGTATTGTTGCCACCGGGTATTAAGCGCGATAAAAGTCCCAGAACCGCTCGAACGCCACATCGACAACTGTCCAGATGTAACACACCAAAAGTATGAAAAGCGAGTCGCAGACTCACGAATCGTCGGACGGAATGAGCTCGTAGCCCCCTTCTTCCGGGAGACACCAGCCCGCCGCCGCCACACCGACGGCAGACATGAGTAACACCGACCAGCTAACCGTGCAAAGGATCCACGACGTATCCAGCCGCCAACCCAGGAAAAACCGCGCATCATGGTCATACAAGAACGCCTGCGACGCATTAGCCCGTCCCCTTCCTCATCTTGTTCTGAAATAAGTTATAACTCACCACAATCGCCATCCCCGCACACTGCACCATTGCCCCCAGCCCCAACAACCCTGTCACGATCTTCCACCCGTAATCCCGCATGCCCTTCCCCCCGAGGATGATCACCGCGTAGGCGACGACGCACGCGAACTCGAGGATCACGGCGAATGACATGAGGAAGCCGACGCTGCGCCACATGCTGCAGAACGAGCGGCCGGCGCCCTGGCAGTCTTCGTATTGGGGGAAGGGGGAGCAGGTGCCGGAGATGGAGGAGCAGCGGGATTGGAGGCCGTAGCTGTAGTGGATGAGGTCGTCGGTGTTCTGGGAAGGTGAGTAATGTGGAGATGTGGAGGGGGGGGGAGGAGACTTACGCTGCCAGATTCATATGTTATCCATTCAGGGAGGATAATGCTCGCGATGGTCATCGCGGTGGCTGTTGAGTGGTTAGTTGGGAGGTGTTGATAGATATGTATATTGCGTACCTGCTAGGACCACCCATAATCCAATGCCATATACCACCCTTCTCGTCATTATGTATGTATCTCGTGCCCTTCTAGATCTTGGAACGTTCAATCGTAAATCCAGTCGTGATAACGATCCGGATCGAGCAGCAGGTGAAGCTCCTGGCACCACCTACGTAATCGACGAGGCAGCAACGAATGTCGAATTCCAAGAACTGGCTGGGACAAGATAAGAGGGGTTCTTGTTATTATAGCGGACAGGCTCGAAAAAGCCTAACGGAAGCCGTCTTATCAAAGGAAACCTCCAAAAATGGCGCAACGATGGGTGATAGGTGTTGCTGTTGGGAACGATGGCAATCCTGATTCCCGTCCTGATGGCTGCTTGTCGCATTGGTGGCGTCCTGCTAAGAGATGGCGCGTTCTCAACTACATGCCTCACTGCCTTGCTGCCTCATGCTGGTCAGTATTGTGGCCGCTGATTGGCTGCAGGTGTCCGGGGCTTGCAACGGCCCCTCCAGGGTTCGTGCGCCATTAAGGCATTAAATCATTCTGCTGGTCTCTGCTGGTGCGCCAACATGAATTAAAATGCCAAGATCACATGAAAGTCACATGATGCACCACCACCTGTAGCCGCAACGCCTCAGGCAAATTTAGTTCATTACATAATCATATATTGATGTCTCAGGCACTGAGGCATTTACGCAAATGGCGATGCATGGCTGAACACATCATTCTGGAACCGAAGTGGAGTGGATCTGAACAAAACAATGTGTTACGGAGCTCTCACAATCCCCCATTCTCTCGACACCCCTCTTCTGATTTTCTTCTCATGATCTGTTTTCTTTGTCTATCGTCCCTCATCCCCGCATAGTTCGAATATTTAGGATCCATCCCACGCCCGACGAGAAATCCGTCATTTGCGGCCTGCTATCAGAAATCATCCGAGTCACTGGTGGCGCTTTTCCCCGACCGACCTCGCAACGCTATCAGTGATACCACCCCCCACGATCCGAATTCCGAAATACCATGGACTCCATGCGCGGCCTGGGTCGAGCCCTCGCCTCCACCACGCCCCGCAAATCCACCAAACTCGACCGCGCCGCCAACGTGCGCCAGTCGTTCAAAACCGCCGCCCTCTCTGTCACCAACCTGTACCGGGCGGTCGCCGCTGAGGCCGACGAGGCGTACGCCGAGGGCTACCGGGATGCGGTGCAGGATCTGGTGAATTTCTTGGATAAGGCGGATCTTGGGTTGACAGATGGGGAGGGGTGGATGGTGCGAGAATGGGCGACGCAGCGTTTTCAGTCGTCATCGTTGGGAGGTGAGGGGGGGAAGGAGAGTGGGAGTGGGAGTGGGAAGGAAGAGAGTGCGCACCGGAGCTCGTCGCCGCCGTCGATGCAGCAGGATACACACATCCCGGAGAATGAACCGATGCAAAGATCGGAGGGGATACAAACATCGGAACCAGAACCACGACGACAAACCCCCCACCAGCAATCCACCCTCTCCGAACCGCAATCATCACCGCACCACATGCACCAACCAACAATACCAGTTGAGCAGCAAGCACCCTCACGTCCGCAAACACGCTCCCTCGGGCCCGGCGCAGGCACACGCCGGAAAGCCGACGACGACCCCTCGCTCCACTACCAGGTGAAAAGCAGTCGGCGCGACCACTCCTCGCGGGCGTATCCGCGGGAGAAAGTCGCCGCCAGCAACTTGCCCTCACTACCAAATCCCTTCTTCGACGAGTTTGGGAAGACGAATCCAGCATTTCCGTCATTTCCAGGGACAGGCATCTAAGCGCAGCTAGGTCTGTCTGGTCTATCAAAACCGGTCGAGAGCAGTATAGGATAAGCGAATGCAACCTCGCGATGTTCGAAGATGAAACCCTTAAAAGGTTCGGATGAGACGGAAGGAAAGGGGGAATCAGTCCATTTACATCAATCTTCTGGTGAAACGGACGTCGTCACGGACGGGTTTTTTTTGGAATTGTCACACGAGAGCATTTGCATAGCATCGCATAGCATGGAACAGGCATCGGACAAGGGCATCGGGCATCAGTCATCGGGATACTTCGGTCCATCCTTTGTTTTCGGTTTTTCTCTACAACGCATCATCAGTCACGAAACCAGCATATCGTCGGGTTATGGAGGGGGGTGATACCATTGCATAGTCCCAAGATAGCGTCCAACTCTACCGTACTTATATACACATCATTCACCCCGGGGTCCTCCTCCCTAGGTGTATATCTCACTCATCACCCTCCCACCGTTGACAATCGACCCGTCCCCTACCGGCCCCTACCGGCCCCTGCTGTCCTCCCCTCCCCTATCTACATCATTACAAGTAACCCAACTCCCTCCCATCCCAATCCCCCTCCCCTCCAACTCCAACCCACCCCTCACATCACCAACCGATACACTCCTACCCCCACCAACATCCCCGACGTCACCACCACCCCCACCCGCCGCGACCGCATCCCCCAGAACGGCCGCGTCCGCCGGATCTCCGGCGCCAGGTCGCGCAGCTGCCGCGTGCCGGAGATGTAGCCGTAGGTGCCGAGGCCGATGAAAGCGGAGGCGCCTGTTTGGAAGGAGAATCAGTTGCTGCTGTGCGGGTTATGTAAGCAGGATGGGGACGTACCGATGGCGCGGCAGGGGAGGCAGTCTTCTTGAGGGGGCTGGGGGGTGGAGGAGGGGGGTTTGGGGGAGAAGGCTTCTTGGATACGGGAGATCATGGTTAGGAATGGTAAGGGATGGAGAATGGAGATGGATCAGGGGAGGATGTATTAGGGGCTTGAGTGGATGGTGGTTTGATGGGGACGAGGAGATTTCGATTAGAACCGAGAAGCAATCGTGGGATGTATTAATGAATGCATTTTAATACGCTAATTATGTTTGATTTCACGTTTGGTTTGAATTCCACGGTGTTGGATTGTTTCATAAAGTCATCAATCATCATTAGTGCTTGATGAAGTTTGGTGCTTGGTTTGTGTCGGAAATCCGCGGTTATTACTTAGTCACCGCACCTTGTAGATTACATAAGATTACATAAGCCTGGGTATATATACCCGTCAAGGTAAACTATGTACTTCTGACCGAATACAAGCATCTCACTGCCTCTGAACAGGTAGTTATCTGTCGCAGACCAAGGTTTCATCTAAGGGAGCTCGAGGCTACAAACTGCATTAATAAACTTGCCACGAATCTCATATATCTGGAGGGCCAGGGGACCAGGCATTGACATAAGAACACGCAACTTGAACGCAACTTTCAGATACCTAGATCTCACACAATACAACAACTTCGCTGCTGGAAAAACAGCACCTCACTCCCAACCATTTTAGCACATCACGTGCGACAGTTATGAGCCCAAAGACTCTTCCTCTGCTACACAGCATTATCCGCCGATAAATCTATCGCAATAACACTCTTCTCACGAGGAGCAACTCTCCTCACGAGGACGATCCTCCTCACAGAGTCGGCACAATCTTAGGCCGGCTCTACAGAAAGAATCAACACATCAATCCTTCAAAATGTCGTTTAAGGATCACAATCTTCCAATGCTCAACTCCCGAGATGACTGGACTGACTGGATCAACTCTATCGAGGACCTTGCTGTACGAAACGACGTATGGAACTATTGTGACCCCGAAGGCATCGACAATTTGGAGTTCACCGCCAGGAAACCGCCAGACTCAGCAAGTAAAGACACTGTCCAGAGATATCAAGTCCTTCAAGCCATCTACGATAGCGGGAAGAAAAAGTACGATAAAGTCTCTGAGCGTATAGACATCACCGTCTGCGCGGAATTCAAACAACACTACCTCGGAATCCATAATGTCCGAGGTAAACTCATTGCGTTAGCTGAGAGCATTCAGCCGACCGCGAAAGACCAGAAACAGAATGTTAGGGCCGAGTTCGAGAAGCTTAAGAAAGGCGTTGGCAACACCGGTCTCGACAAGTGGCTTAGTCGATGGCCTGCTCTCGTCAACAACGCGAAGCGGTACAAGATCGAGAACCTAAGCGAGTCGCAGATATGTGAAGCCTTCGTTGAAGCCTCTCGTGACCTCAACCCTCCATTCTATAACTACATGAAGTCCAAAGAAGCACAAGTCGAAAGTGACACATCTCTTATTAAAGAGATGGCAAGAGCAATGGAGACGATCTCTGGGGCATTCATCACTGCTCTCAATGAGATCAATCCAAACCATGCCAGCAACGGCTCTGTGTCAATTGATAACCTAAGTGCCACAGATTCGGATGTGACTGAAGACGATGCCGATATCACAATCGTACAGAGGGCGCAGAACAGGATCAACAACACTCTTCGGTCCTTCCATAGGCTGAATCCAACTCTTTCTGATAAGAGAATCACGATAGGCTTCTGTATCAAGCAGTTTAGGACCATGGCACCGCCACGCGAAAAAACTACAAGAGGGCGAGCTGCACACGCTACCCTTCAAGGCAGAAAGCAAGATCTTGATTCAGGCTTATCAGACGATGAAGATTCTCAGCCGAAGCGGAAGAGACAAAGAGTCGACTCCAATCTAACAACAACCAATTCCCAAATTACCCTTCGCGATTGCGTTTGTGGCCTAGCCCATAAGTACGCAGACTGTCGGTATCTCAATCCATCAAGTGCTCCATTGGGATGGACACCAATCGTTCAAAGTCAAGTCCAGAGTCATCACGGCAATCAAAGGAAGCAAGCGTCTTCGAACAAACATTGAGAAGAACTTCCAAAGAAATAAAATCGCCTTGCCAGACTATTGGCCCGCTGATACTCCCAAAAACCAACCTGAAAACGCAATACAAGAGAGCAACTCCTCAACCTCGACCTCGGCAACAAGTAGGTCGAGGGCATCGTTTGCAACATCAAGATTCGCTTTTGGCACATCTACAGAAGACGAATATGATCACTGCTTCCGACTCGACAACTGTGCGGATACACATGTCTGTAATGACCTGTCTCGGTTCACTCAGTATAAACCGTTGTACTATGAAACTATACGATTTGGAAATTCTGATACCCAAATCGAGGGGACAGGAAGTGTTACAGTCTATGTCGATACTCCGTCAGGTCCTAGCATTATCCAACTTGAGAATGTTGCCTACGTACCTGGTTTCCATTGGAATCTAATAAATACGGACTCTCTTGAGAAGCAAAGCAGCACAAGCCTTTGCCATGGCAAGGAGGTCACGAACACCTCAGATTGCCGTGGCATCAATGGACACTTGGCATGCGAGACTAGGACATATTAGGAAAGACGCTCTCGAGCATGTTCCGCAGGCAGTTGAAGGAGTAGCACTTGGCACTCGCGACTTTCAGCGGACCTCAGACCTCTGTCCTGAATGCCAACTCGGACAGGCCCAACAGCAAATTTCACGAGTTCCGACATGGAGAGGAAGCTATCCATTCGAAAAAGTCCACTTGGACCTGATTCAAATGGAGGAAGCATTCAACCTTGACGCTTGGGTCGTTCACTTCTACTGTGACTGCTCAGGGTATCATATTTCTTTCAATCTCCCAAACAAAACGCAAGAAGAACTAGTTTCTGTGACGCAGGAGTTCCTTTCGATCACAAATGATAACTGGGGCTTTACCACGAGATACATTCAATCAGATGGCGAAAAAGGCCTAGGCCATGCGTGGAAGGACCTCATCACCATGAAGGGCATCACGTTCAACCCATCTCCACCAGATACTCCAGACCAGAACGGTCTTGCAGAACGTTCTGGGGGGGTGATTATGGCTACCGCGCGCAAACTTCGCATACAGAGCAGACTACCTCACAAACTCTGGCCATATCTCGTTGCGTACGCTACTCGACTCCTCAACCGTATTCCGGTACAGCGGAAAGGATGGCAAACACCTTTTGAGATGGTCCATGGCCGCAAACCCAACCTCTCATATCTCAAAATCATTGGGTCTCGTGCATATGTCTTGATCAAAAACAAAAGGGATCGTCCAGCCACAGCAAAGCTGAAAGAGAAAGCAATCATGGGATGGCTTGTCGGGCTAGACGCGACCAACATCTACAAAGTCTGGATCCCATATCTAGATCGTGTTGTCATATTTCGGGATGTACAAGTAGACGAGAAGGTCATGTATGATCCGCAGCTCGTTGAAAGCCCTCCTGAAACCGGACAAGCATTGTCAATCACTATCAACGAGATTGATATAGATGAGTCGGATACGGAACTGTTTCCAATCGACGAAGACACAACAGTTCCTAGCTCAAATCTAGTCCAATACGAAGTACCATCAGGGTTCCTCTCTCCACCGCAAGCTCTATCCACACAAGCAGCTTCAAGAGAGACACAGAGTGATACGAACAAGCTACAAAAACCACGGCGATATCCAACTCCAGTGTCACTTGAATCTCGTCAACCAAGCACAACAAACCAAGACTTTTCCAGAGAAACGGCAAGTCAGCCTACAGCAAACTCGGTTCAGTCACACCTTACTGCACGGCAGGGGCAAAAGACGGCACGTCGACAAGCCCATGCCCTTCGACTTCAACGTGCGAAGCTAGGACAACAACTTGCCTACGCTTTCGCATCTGCACGAACAATTCGAATACACCGAAAGGACTTATTGCCACCACCAGATTTCTGGTATCAGCTAAAGCGACACCCGGAGCGAGAAGGCTTCAAAGGTGCCGCAGATACTGAGGTAATCACGCTCAAAGACAAGAAGACCTTTATACTGGTCGACTATCCAGAGCACAAACAAGTCCTACCACTCAAATGGGTCTTTACCTACAAATTCGATGATGCCGGATACCTTATTCGTTACAAAGCACGAATATGCGTAAGAGGCGACCTTCAACATCATATGGCTGATGACATCTATGCGGCTACCGGAGCGTATCGCAGTTTTCGCATCCTTATGGCTCTAGTCTGTGCGTTTGGGCTTCTGTGTCATCACATTGACTTCAAGAACGCTTTCACCAACGCAGATATGGACGACGAGATATATACTGCCTGCCCACCAGGGTATGGTAAGCCAGGAAAGGTTTGGAAGCTGCTTAAAGCGCTTTACGGCTTGCGCAAGTCACCAAAGCTATGGTTCGATGAACTTCTATCATTTCTCAACGGTCTAGGATTCAATCATTGCCCAGATGAACCATGCATTCTCATCAATAAAGAAACAGGAATTATTCTATTCCTCTACGTGGATGATCTTCTTGTTATTGCACGACAAGAATGCCTCCATCAAATCAACCAATTCAAAACAGCAGTCAACAATAAGTATGGGATCAAGGATTTGGGTGAAGTAACCTCCTTCCTCAACATCAGGATCCTTCGCGATGCCAAAGCGAAAAAGCTTTGGATATGCCAGAACGGGTACATCGACAGAATATGCACAAAATTCGGGATAGATGGATCAGTGAGAGCAGCTACTACGCCTCTTATTTCATCATATCGTCCCCAACCTTTCGAAGGACAGGCTACAATTCAGCAGATCGCAGAAATGCAGGAAAAGGTAGGTTCAATACTGTACGCAGCAGTGGTATCAAGACCCGATATCTCCTTTGCAGCCAGCCAGTTAAGTCAGTTCGCTACGAATCCTTCACCAGAGCACTTGCGGTACGCAAATCGAGTTCTCTCATATCTCCAGACCACAAAGTACTATGCCATCGAGTTCTTGGGCTCTGTGGACCACTCCACAGAAGTAGAGACAGGCGATGATGAAGTACTACAGCTGTCAAGCGACGCATCGTTCGCGGATGATCCAGAGACTCGAAAATCTACCCAAGGTTACCTTATGAAGTTGTTCAGCGGATCAATCATGTGGCAGTCTTCTAAACAGAAGACTGTAACCACATCGACAACTGAAGCGGAGCTCTTATCGCTATCACACACAGCGAGGGAGACGATAGGTCTATACAGGCTGTTTGCGCAGGTACAGTTTGATCCTGAACACCTTCCTCGCATACTCTGTGACAATCAGCAAACGGTAGGCCTGATCCAGAAAGAGAGACCACAGTTGACATCAAAACTGAAACATGTCGATATCCATAACCTTTGGTTAAGGCAGATACATCGAGAAGGCAAAGTTGCAGTACAGTGGGTTCCTACGACGGGCATGCCTTCGGATGGCTTCACAAAACCTCTCTCAACAGATAAGCATGTTCAGTTCGTACATCAATTAGGCCTGGTTGATATCTCTTCGCGGATTGATCCAGGATATGTATCGGAAGAGGATAGTCCTCA